AATCTCTAGAACGTTATACGTCTAAGCTTAGGCATAGAGAGTTTACTATTTATTAAACTACTTCTCTAGCTTAATTCTGCTATGCTTAGCTTTATCTAGGTAAGCTTAGTACTCTTATCTAATTTAATTCTAAGTTATAGCCTTACTTAGAGCTAGCTAATCTTTAAGTAGTTTAAGTTATAATTAGAGGCTTAAGTTATCTGTTTAGAAAAGCCTAATCTATATTAGCTTAAGAAGGTCTAGTAAGACTATTTTTATAATCTAGTCTTAGAGGTTTGCAAGTGCAGCAGCTTTTTAAGACTATTTAGCAGTAAGAACTTTCTATTATTAGACTCTCTTGTTTAGAGTAGCAAATAAGTATAGGTTAGGTTATAGTTAAGTATTATATAATATAAACTCTAAATTAACTTAACCTATACCTAAACTTTCTAGCTAGAATAGGTATAAGTTAGGTTATAGTTATAGATATTTAGGTTATAGTTAAGTATATTATGTAATAGGGTTAAAGTTAAAGTTAAGTATTATATAAGCAAAAATTTAATAATTTTTTTTATTCTCTCTAAAGCATCTATACTACTAAATTATGTAATTTAGAAGATTAAATTTTTGCTTACATAATACTTAATTATATAGTTAAGTATTATATAATAAAATTGACCTAGGTTAACCTAGACTTAACTTTTCTTATATAATACTTAACTTTAACTTATATAGTCTTAGCATTAACTTAACCTTAGTTAACCTATACTTAACTATACCTTAACTTATACCTATATATAAGTTATCTATACCTATTTGCTAGCCTGCTCTCGTTATAGTTAGCTAATAAAACTTTATAGGCTTTAATATCTTTAATATATTCTTATAAAGACTTTTTATAATTAGCTTTTGCTTTATTAGTAACTCTAGTAGGAGGATCCTTTAGCTTAACTAGCTTAGTAGATAATCCTAGGTATAAGAGAGCGTTATTAAGAAGATTAGGTTGCAATAAGCTATCTAGATTAATATAGTCCTATACTTACTTTCTAATAGCGTAAACTTTAAGCTAAATATACTATACTAGCTAGTCTTTATAAGCTTAAAGAGTAACTATAGAAAGAAGTTTTATCTAGTCTGTTTAGTCTATTTAGACTAATGTTATTAGGATAATTTAAGAGGTTTAAGAGGAATAAGAGTAGTAGAATAATTAATTTAAGTACTTAGCAAATATAAGATGCATAGTAGAGAATTAACTCTATAATCCTATAGCGCTAGGCTTATAACTGTTATAGCTAAGCAAACTTAAGAGAAAAGATTATATTAATTACTGCTCTTCTAATATATTAGAAGAGCTAGCTTAAATATATAAACAGATTGCAGAGAAATGTTAGTCTACTTTCTAAGCTTAGTCAGCTTAGTTATATAGATTAGTACTTTACTATTCTCGTGTATTAATACTGCAACATAAGAGAATATCTTACTTATTAAGAAGCTAGACTTATTAAAGTTATATATATTCTTATCTATAACTCTATACTTCTTCTTTATACTCTAAACTAGTGTAAACTAGAGCTAGATAATTACTAAGTTCTTATAAGTAGCTTACTAGCAATTATATAGATAGCTCTAGCATATTTATAGCTTAGAAGTACGCTTAATAAAGTTATTAACTTAGTTCTTACTAATAAGCTTACTAGTGTGCTCTCTAAGTAGTCTATTAGCTATATCTTATATATCTGCCTTTAAGATAGACAGACTATATATAGAATACTTAATTATACGCTCTATAATTACCTTCTCTTCTAGTTTTATAAGGCGCTTTACTTTTAGCTTCTAGTTATATTAAGAAAAGTACTCTATATAATAGTCTTAGATAGTACTTTAAAGAACGTTATAGATAGCTATAGCGCGTTATTTACTTTAGATCTACTTTAATTAAATATTAGAGATAGTAAGCTATATATCTTCTTTAGTATAGATCTTTTAAGCTTAGTATTATTAAGATATTATATATTATTACTGCGCAGCTGTTTTAGTAGAGTAAGATAGCTAAGTTACTTAGATAGCTAAGTTACTTATAAACTACGTTATATAAGTTATTAGAAAAGTATACTTACTATTTATAAGAAGATTATATACTATAGCTAAATTAACTATGCATAGTACTATTATTTAGGAGACTTATTAAATCTCTAATATTAAGATAGAATCTAAGTTAACTAAGCGCCTAATAGCTATTTACAAAGATTTATAGTATTTCTTAACGTAAAATATATATTTATATACAGATTACTAGCAGGCGTATACTTAGCTATTATTGCAGTTTATTATGCCTCTTTTTTTCTTTTATAACTAATTACTTATTCTAGATAGGAATCTAGCAAATCTTTTAAAGAACTAATTAGCATTATTTCTAAATAATCTAGCTTCTACTTTAGCTTTAGCTGCATTTAAATACGTAAATTAGTAACTATTAGAGGCTTAGTACTTTCTACTAAGCTCTAGCAAATATTATAAGAAAGAGAACTAACTAAGTTATCTCTATAGAACTTCTAGACCTTACTTTAAGATACTTTAACAGATCTATTATAAGCTACTTTAATATTTAATTCTAAGCTATATTATTAAGTTCTAAATGTTATTAGATAGATATATACTGTATTATAATAATCTTTATTTAGCTAAGGCAAGATATACCTACGATAAAAGCCTCTATTACAGAATATCTACTTTTCGCCTATAAGTCTAAAATTAAAACAATAGCAGGTAATGCTATTAAATCTATTTAAATTAGATTAAGGCACTCTAGTAGAGATATTCTAGTCTCTTAAAATCTTAAAATATAGAAGATTAAACTATCTAGATTAAGTAACTTTTTTAACTACTCTATGCCTTAATTACCTATATATAGCACTAATGCTTTATTACTTTACTCTTAATTCTACTTTATTAGACTATAAAGCTCTAAAGGTATTTTATTTAATTACTCTATACTATATTAAGTTACTTTAGCTTATAGAGAACTAAGAAAATATAATCTAAAGTTAATTTTTCTTATAATTTTGCAAATTCTGCCTAATATAAGCACTAAATATAGCGTAGATAGATAATAGGTTCCTATATATATGCTTAGCTCTCTATAGATAATTAAGACTAGAGAAACTACTCTATTCTTCTTATAGATATCTATAAAGAAGTAATAGAAAGAATATTTTTTATTATAGCATACTTATATAATTAGAGTACAGCGTCTTAGTATATACTAGCACTTATAGGATAAGATTAAAGGCTTACCTCTAGTTTATTATAAGTATAGCTCTATAATACGTATATTCTTAGTAACTACTTTAATCTTATCTAAGAATCTAAGCTCTAGACTTAGTTACGCTTAGATTCTATTTATATTGCTTTAAGTTAGGCTTTTAATATATAGACTAAGAGACTTATAAAATGCAAATTTCTACTAAGGACTAATATAAGCATAGTATTAAGAATAACCTTCTGCTTCTAAAGATTTCTCTAGCTTCTATATAAGCTTAGAGAGAATATTTACTATTACGTATTATTTAATAAAAGATAAAAGATCTATAGAAGCCTTATCTATAGCAATAGCTTACTTAAAAAATAGAAGCATAACTAAAGAGGCTTATAATAGTTCTATAAGCTTACTTTACCTTTAATAGAATCTCTACTAAGACTTTAAATATCTAGAATATTTCTTATCTATGAGCAAGTCTATTTAGAAGCATTAGAAATAGTCTATAGAATAAAGGTACTTATAATAATAATTACGTCTATAAAAGATAGTCTCTATAACCTTAATAAAGACTAGTTGCCTAATATTAGTTACTTCTTATGCATTAGAATTAATCTTTTACTTACTTACTATACGTTAGATATAATTCTTAGTCTTATAGAGATTATCTCTAAATGTTTTTGCTATATTGCAACGCTTCTTTAAGAACGTGCCTTAGAGCTCTAGTTTCTAGAGATTAGATTTAGAACTTATAGTCGTTCTATTAGACTAGCTAGATATAAGAATATAATTAAATATAAGGATATTTTAGAGAGAATGTAAGAATTCTTAGAAAACTTCTCTAGAGCTAGAATAAAGATTAGCACAGAGAGAGAGCTGCTAAATATCTGCTAGAGTATTAGTAAAACGTTAGAAGAAGGCTAAAGACTATAGTTATATATGCACGTACTTTTATGCTTGCTCTCTTAAGCAGGTATAGAAACGTGTTTGTTATAAACCTAAGATAGGCGCTAAGGATGCAGACTGTACTTTAGTAGTAGGAAATTGTTAGCATATAGGCTGCAAGCTTTATGTTTGGTAAGGTCTATCCCTAGGTAGCGAGACGCCCCCCGTTACGAGACAAAGCGCAGGTACTTTGAGAAAAACTAACTCTAGTTTTTTAGGCACGTTAGGTTTGCGTATAGTCTTCTGTTAATAGTTTCTAAGCCTATAGAAGACTGCTACTGTACAACTAGATACCACAATTACAATAGGGTTGACGCCTGCAAGCCTGATGCACAGGAGCCTTCTGTTGCGCATAAATCCACGCCTGTACTACACAGCGTTGCCCTTGGACTTTGGAAGGCTTTCATACCGACAGACTCAATCTATTTAGGCTTCTGAACATCACTCCTGGAGCGGTAAGTTACTATCAGCACTGTGGCGATCGTTGCGCGCTGATTCATGCATGGTCGATTGATTGATTGATTGATTATATCCTACTCGGTTTCAGCCGCGCTTTCCGCAGCTATGCCCGGCTGACAGGCTTGGCGGACAGCCGACGCGTCGCGGAAACGTTGTTCCGCGCCGCCCCACGTCACCCCCGAGGGCCATCTGTCCCCAGAGGCTTGCCGCTTCCCCTCAACCACTATCTAAATATGCTTTGCCGGGCCCATCTAGCTACTGGTTCTACTAATTGAATACTGCGCTTCTAGGTTCGTAGAGGCAGGTGCCTCATCTTTGCGGCCGCGATACTTCCAGTCTCCCCCCAGCACTCGGCTGTCGTTTACGCGTCTCTGATCCCCACTTGCCTAAGGATCTGCGTCTGCTCTATAAACTCGATGGCTTTGGTGGCTAGCTGTGGCTTGTTCAGGACGGCCCGGAGGTTGTGTCGTCCAGAGAGGTTGCCGAATACCTGGTCGCGGAGGTCCTTGTAGATCCCGCAGCGGAGGAGGATGTGCGCAGCCGTCTGTCTCCTTTCCCCACATGCGCACCGTGGGCTGATGACTTCCGGTACTCTTCGGTTGAAGAGGAAGTCGTTGAGTCCAATCTTCTCTGTTCGCATCTGTACTAATAAGGCACTCTCGCGTTTGCTGAGCCCTTGATAGAGTTGTAGCACTTTCTTGGTAGGTCGTGGTGTGAGTCTGTGCGTTGCTCTGCCTTTGGTATTAGCCCTCCAGCTGTCTGCCCATGTTCTCTCTGCCTGTGTCTTGCACCATCTCCTGAGTGTGGACTTCAGTGGGAATAGTTTTGGAGGGGCTTCTGCTGGTGGCTGTCTGCGACCATCTGCTCTCCATCCAGTTGCTTCCTTGGCGGCAATGTCGGCCGCTTCGTTTCCAGGGATTCCGACATGGGCTGGTATCCATCGGACGGTAACCGGTCGTCCTTTGTCCTGGAGCCGCTGGACCTGTCGTGCAATCTCCTCGAGAATGTAGGCTCCTGATCTCCCTTCCGCCTTCGTTATGGACCAGATGGCGGCTTGGTTATCCGTATAGACGGCGATGTCTCTGCGCTTGCCGCCTCTTTCTACGTACTGCTCAGCTATCTGCAGTGCTAGGCTAATTCCTTGTAGCTCAGCTGCGTATACTGTCGATACCGTGGTTGCTCCCATGTGTACCGCGCGGGTCTCTTGGATCAGTGGGCACACTGCCGCTGCTCCTGTCTCACCATCTATGCCGCTGCCGTCTGTGTAGATGCTGAGGCATCGCCCTGAGTCGTTCTCTATATCGTGTCGGTTCCGTGCCTTCTCTGCAGTGGCTTCTATGTGTGTAGCCGGGCCCTCTCGCCATGGCGTGGTCATAAACGGCGGGATGGGCTCCTGCTCATCGAAGCCATGGCTTCGTCGGTTCTTCATGTCGTTGTAGATCTTCTGCCACGAGTCGATGTGCCCTATGCGTTTTCTTGTGCTTGTAGGCTGTGGGCTGTCTTTCTGGATGCCTGACATGTCTGTCATTGCCTGGCTCGAGAGGAGCCGAGTGATAGCGTCCGCATTGTGCCTCCAGATTTGCTGTTCAATGGGTAGGAGGTAGGCCTCAACGTTCAGCGCGGCGTGCGATGTGGCTCGGTATGCTCCGCATATGACCCTTGCCGCTCTGGCCTGGATCCCCTGTAGGATGTCCAACGTCTTTTGGGTATACGTTCCTCCTCTCGTGTTGGCATTATACCAGATAGAGCAGGCGTACATCATCTGTGGGAGCGCTGTGCCTTCGTATATCCTTCGCAGGTCCAGCAAACCTATACCCCAGGCGGAACCCCCAAGGCAGCTCAGTGCGTTTACTGTCTTCATTGCTTTCTGTCTGACCGCTTCTATGTGTTCTTTCCAGCGCAGCTTGGTGTCCATCGTTAATCCTAGGTATTTGCACGTTGTCTCTGGTTTTATCTCGCCCCATTCTGTCTGAATTGGTCTTGTTCTATCGATCCGCGTTAGTGACCTTGTGAAATGGGTCAGCTGGAACTTGTCAGGGGCGAAGATCGAGGCGTGGGTACTGGCCCAGCGCTGTGCTTTCTCCATTGCTTTGCTTAGTGTGATGCAGGTCTCTTCGGTTGTTCCACCCCAGGTGAGGATGGCTACATCGTCTATGTATCCGGTCGACATGGTATCGGATTCTTGATTGCATTCGTCGATAAGATCCGCGTTGTAGAAGAGGTAAAGGATAGGCGATAGGGGAGAGCCTTGTGGTATGCCTGTGTTTATGGTGTACTCTCTGGATTGAAACCCGTCGATGGCTATTCTGGTCCTCCTGGCGCTTAGGAAGCTTGCGATCCATCGAACTGTCTTTTCGTCTACTCTCCTTTTCCGTAAGTTGTGGAGCAGTCGTTTGTGTGATACATTGTCAAAGGCGCCGGAAACGTCGAGTAGCAAAAGGCTGGCCACCTGCGATGGTTTCTTGTTCCATGCTTCATATATTTTCTTCGTGACGAGATGTAGCGCGTGTTCTGTTGAGCGCATCTTTCTACCACCCATGTGGGTTGTTGGGAGCACATGATGCTTTTCTGTCAGGTGGCTAAGTCGTCGGGCAATTATAGCGTCCATGATCTTCCCCATCGTGTTCATCAGAGCTATTGGGCGGTATGATTTGGGTACCGTATAGTTCTCTTTGCCGGGCTTGCGCAATACTACTGTGGTTGACTCTCTGAAGTGCTCTGGGCAATATCCTAGGTGTAGACTTCGGTTGAACACCCTTACTAGGTGAGGGGTGAGTAGTCGTGATCCTGCCTGTAATGCTCGGTTTGCAATGCCGTCTGGGCCTGGGGCCTTGAGCGGTGATGCTGTACGGATAGCATCAGCAACCTCTTTCTCTATGATTGGCGGCATCTCGATTTGCCCCCTGTACTCCGCTGCGCGTATATCTTCCAGATCCGCATCCGGGGGTATTAGAAAGAAAATATCCCGGAAGAGGTCTGCCTTGTCGCTTGGCTCCGCGATCTCCTGTTGTGTTGTCGGGTGTCGTAACGTTGGTGTAACTCTTGGGGCCTCGTTACCCCTTGTCTTAGCCCATTTGGCAAGTCTCCACAACTTCTCCGGCGATTCGGCTGCTTCTTCGACTCGCTCTCTGTGTATTTTTGTCAAGGCTTTTCTGATCGTTCTTGCTTTTCGGTTCCTGGCCGTTCGGTATGCTTCCCATGACTCCTGCGTACTGTGTTGGCTGTGTAGCCTCTTCAACCTTTTCGCCTCTGCGAGGACCTCTTTGCATTTATCATTCCATCCTTCCCGGGACTGTGGTACTACGATTACCTCTGGGATCCCTTTTTCGATCGCTTGTTTGATAGCTGTCACTATTTCTTGGACATAATTGTTTAGGGCTACTTTCGTTTCAGGCCTGCGGGGCGGTGGCAATGTGTCCTTAAGCGCTTTAGTATATTTCTTTATGTCTAGCCGCTTGTAGTTCCTCCGCGATGCTCTTTCCAGCTGTTGTGTGGTCATGTCCAGTGTGGTGCTGATTGGTAAGTGGTCTGAATCGTGGTCGAGGTCCCGGGTTATTTCGCTGCTGATCACTCTGTCTACTAGTCCCATTGTCACCAGGCAGAGGTCGATGGTCGATCGCCAGTTCGCTTCTTCAAACGTAACTGTGCCAATAGGCAGTGTGTTGTTTAGGTCAAAGTCTTCTATTATGGCCACTAGCTCCTCGGATTCTGCGTGTATACGTCTCACTGCGGGCCCTCCCCAGAGAGGGTGGTGCAGGTTGAAATCTCCCAAGAGTATCTGCTCCATTTCCTGATGTTCGCGGAGGATTGCACGACTGTCATCAAGTGCTGACTCTGCATTTGTGAGGTGTGTTGCCGGGTTGTATACGTTGTGTACGGCCAGTTGTCGCCTTTCTCGCCCTTCCCCGGTTAGGTCGAGGACGATAGAGCAGACGTCTCCGGTTTTCTCCTTGAATCTCCACTTGCTGTGGTCTAATCTCCTATTCACGAAGAAGCAGACTCTCGCCGGACGTCCTCTATTCCCTGCTGGATAGCAGAGATGGAAGACGTCTTTTGCTGGATGGTGGGTAGTTGCTGCGTATGGGTTCCACCATGGTTCTTGGATTGGCCAGGATGTCGTACTCATGGACCCGAGGGTCTCGAAGTAGAGTCGCCATCACTGTATCTCTTGACTTGTGGACGTTGTACTGTAGTATGCTCAGGGTGTTCTGTTGATTCATGCTTCCGTTTCAGAATCGATATCCATTTGTTGGGTGGTCTCTTGCGTACTCCGGGCATTACCGCTGATTGCCTCCATGGCCCTTCTGGATGGAACTATGTTCCTCTGTGGCCTTTGGCTAGCAGAGTTCCGTGGTGGTCGGTTTTCCTGGTCGTTTTGTTCTACGGCAGTTCCATTATTCGCTCTCTTCTGTCCTCTCCCAGGGCGGGAGTTGCTCCTAGTAACCCGGGTAAATTGTGAGGGTGTGACAGTCTGGCCCAGTGGGTTCCTCCGTGTGGTGGCCGGCGTATCCGGTTGGGTCCTTGGGTTCGTCGGCTCCGTTACTGGGTGGTATTGTGGCCGCATCTCGTAGGCGACTTTAGCCTTGAGGATCTCGTCCTTCCTGGTTGGGCATTGGCGACTCCATGCTTCGTGGTCGCCCCTGCAGGTCGCACATTTCCTTGGTATCTCCCGGTTCGATCTTGATGGGCAGTTCCGGGTGTCGTGTTCTTGCGCACAGTAGCCACATGCTGTTGTTGCCTTGCACTAGCTTTCTATATGGCCGTATTTTTGGCACTTAAAGCACTGCTTCACGCGACACTGCCTCTCATATCGTTTGCATTGGAAGACCTTGCCTTGCTAGATTAATCCTTCGTCGATTATCTTGTTTGCGTCCTCTAGTCTTGTAAACTCGATGGTTATAGTTGACGCAGACTTTGCAGATGCATCTCTGGTGAGCCACCCTATATATTTAATCTCTGCCTAGGGTATGAATGGTCTATTGTCCTGCAGGATTTGAGCTCTGTTTTGTTCGAATTTTCCTATGTCCATTGTGCTGGTGCGGATGCCGTGCGCAAGTACGCTATACGTTGGGATTCGCACTGTGGCTCCTGTTCCAATTCGGTGTGCCTAGTCATCCGCGAACTGTCGCAGTGCCTCGACTTCATTGCTTGCTGCTGTTTTGATACTTAGGTCTCCACTTTTCAACTGATTCGCAGAGACGATCTTCACGTTTACTATATTTTCGTTTCCGCTCTGGTCAATGGCTCGTTCCACATGGGCTTTAAGGTTTCCAGGATTCATGGCCCTTAGGCTTTGTACAGTGAATGGATCTCTAATATTTATGATGACCTCGCGCTGGATCTGCGCTGACGGTGCTTTAAGAGCCTGTGTAGTGTATGTACCTGCCGGTGGGAGGTTCCTGGCTGCTACAGCAGCGTAAGACACCTGTCCGATTGCTTGTTCCTGTAGTCTTCTGTTCTTGATGTCTCTCGTCATCTCCATAACGTTTCTGCCTACTTCCGTGGCTTCCCTTGCTGCCACCCCCACCTCCTTTATTCTCTCTCCGTTCTGCTGTATGTTTGTCGCCGATCGCTGTGCTATTTCCTTCGTCTTTAAGATTTGGTTCTTGATTTCTCCGAGTGCCTGCACTGTGTTTTCTGCGTTGATTTTGGCTTCGGTCTGTGCGATCTTGAGTGCGTCGCTCAATGCGCTGAGGTCGGGGGTGTGCTGCACTTTCAGGACAAACGTCAGCGAACCGCGGATAATGTCACCGACTACGTCCGCTGGCACGGATTGGCTGCCACTGCGCTCGATGAGGTGCAGTATTTCGTGGGCGAATGCGCTGAGATTTGTGGCATGCTCGCGTAGTGGGGTTGGCCAGGTATCCCTATGAGGCCACGGAGTCGCCATTGCTCCTCAGTAACAGTGGGCGCTGCTCCTGGGTGATGGCTAGCCGGAGGGCGTATCAAGAGGACGTCAACGTGCGATAAACTGCGTCAATTCCAAGAAGTACGTTTCTCGCTGTTGTAGTGTTTTGATTCATGCATGGTCGCCACCCTAGTCGGTACTTGCAACGGAACTAGTTTCCTAACATAGCTAGTGCGCTTACAACCCTGCACTTTAAATACAGGTAGCGTGTAATGTATTATAAGTTTAGAGGCTAGGTCTTATAGCTGTGCAGCTTATTACTGCTAATACTTATTAGATAATAGCAATAATACTAACATATATAAAGTAGGTATACGTTTAAATCTTAAACGTACCTAGTAATTACTTTCTAAACTAATTAATATATTTTCGCGACTAGTGCTGTCTATAGCGTTTCTGTAGCTTCTATAGCCTAAATATAGCTTACTCTTATAACTTTACGTTTTAGCACTAATAGCCTAGGTCTGCTATCTGCTAAATTTGCCTCTGCTCTTAGTGCAGTACTCTTACGCTTTAACTACGTTTTACTATACTTATAGCTATCGTAGCTTCTTCTACCTTCTACCTAGCGTTTTTAGGCTTCTAATTACGTCTAGTCTTAGCTTTAGCTTCTTTAGCTACGCTCTCTTCTGTACGCTTTAACTATTTATCTTAGAGATACTTATAAGTAAATACTATACTAGACCTCTTCTCTAATATATCTGCCTTAGTTAATTATTAGAGCTTAGCTTCGTTATTAACTGCTGTTAAGAGATAAATATAGTTTTGCTATAGAGTATTCTTTATTAAAGATAATTATATAGCTTTAGTAATCTTTAGCAGGTACTACTATAGGTCTTACTTATTTAATTCGTTAAGACTTTAAGCATCTCTCTCTAGAATTAGGTTTTGCAGTAATAGAAGGCTCTCTGCTAATACTAGTATTATAGGCGTTTATAGTACTTTATCTTCTTAATAAGATGCTTTGCAGCTTACTATAATAATTAGTTCGTCTAGTAGTTTTAGCATAGTTCTAAGCACTCTCTCTAGGTTAAATAGAAATAAACTACTTATAGCAAAACTAGCCTTAATATTCTTTAGCGTAAGCGCTTACTCTCTTATAAGCTTATAAAGAGAGATAAAATACTTCTTACTAATAGTATTAATATCTTCTCGCTCTAATTATTTAACCTAATTATAGTAGGCTATCTTTAGTAGCCTAAATACAGCAACGTTATAAGGCTAAAGCTTATAAGATATATAAGAGAGAATATAATATAAGATAATATTTTTTGTAAAATAATACTCTAGAATCTCTAGAGTCTTATATATTCTAAAGCTGTTAAGAATTAATACGCAGAGTTTTCTATTAGCACGTTTCTTAGTCTTAGAGTTAAATACGCGCTTAAGCTACTATAAGCTAATATTTAAGTTTGTATATCTAGATTTATTGTATGCATAATGCTATCTAGAAGTAGAAAAGACTATCTAGTTACTTTAATAAGTAGTAGCTAGCTAAATAATTATAGAGTTTAGATATCTACTATTACTGCTAATATACTTAATAGCAGTAACTATTATTTACTTTATGCGCATATCTCTATATATTTATATATTAGCTTTACCTATAAGTACTTTTACGTAGCTAAGCATTAATAGTATAACTCTAGTCTTATCTATATTATATATATTCTCTGCTTTAATAGCTAGGTTACGATAATGATCTTCTCTATTACCTTAAACTAGTATATTATCTTATTAGTAAT